AAAAATCCATCCCTGGTCTGTGTGACTTCTTAAAGGGAATGGTTGGTGGCAGCTTAGTGAAACTGTGGCATATCCCAGTAGGTCTGGGTTTGTCACAACAGCTTTTTCCACTCTTTTGCTTACTGTCAGGGCTACTCCATTTCTTCTACGGGATTCTTGCCCACAGTAGTAGATATGATAATCGTCTGAATTGAATTCGCCCATTCCCGTCCATTTTAGTTCACTGACGCCCAGGATGTCAATGTTTATTCTTGCCATCTGTTTGATCACATCCAGTTTACCAAGTATCTTACATTCCAGGTTCCTATGCAGTATTTTTCTTTTCAGCATTGGATTTTCCTTTCACTTCATGCCACTTTAAGCTCGGCTAATTGTTTTTGCTTTTCACTGTTTAATACTTTACAGGCATTTTGTTCTCATCTTCCTGTATCCATCTGTAAGACGTTTATTTCATATGTCATGCATGTGAAAGCCTCTTGACTGTAGATACTGTACATATTGCAAATTATTTTGGGCTTTGCTGCACTGCAATGTTACACTGCAAATGTATATTTATGCCTCCACCTCCTTCGTCAAAAGTATCACAACTGCTCTGGAGTGAGTCAGTCATCTGTCAGTGAAGGAGGAAGTGAAGGTCTGATGCTGATATTAAAAGAGAAGGGAGTGTTTCTGAGATAACACAGCTTGAGAAAGAAGTAGCAAGAATAAAATTCCAGTCCTCCTTTTCCAAACACATTTCCTATTATGAAGACAGGGGATGAGTTACAGAAAAAGGACCGTACACGTACTGGATGCTAAAGGGCAAGCTAAGCGAACATAACACATTTTAAGAATAAGCAGACAGATTCTTGGTGCTCTGTCTTATCAGTATTATCTGTGCATATTGCTGGAGCAACCTCATCATGCCCACCGGTTCTCTGTCTCCCTGTAGGACCCTAATACATAAACGTTTGTGGAAGGTAAGGGAGCATCAAATGACATCATGTATTTCTTTTTTGCAGTCTCCAAGGTGCTCAAGATGGTGTACGTGGCGGCTGTCATTTTATCCTCCCACCAGCACTCTGAGATTAGCTTAGGCTAAGAGAAAGAGGCAATGTCAAGGTTGTCCAGTTCATTTTGTGACTCAGTGTCGATACAAACTTAGTACTATTAAAGATCTCTTATCTGTTCAATGAATGCCATGCCTGTTCTTTGACAAATTCCATGCATATAGATGGTGCCATTCAGATCATCATAAGAAAAAAGAATAAACTCATTTTGGACACAAACCTTTCCTTTCTGGGTGACCTCTTTCTCATAGACCCTGCTTGTAACTCAGGTAGGGTGGTGTTTCTGTTTTCCTTTATAGATGACAATCCTCTCTTTGAAGGACTGCCAGAAAGCATATATCCTCTTGAAGGTGTCTTCCATTTGAAGGGCTGTCCAGTCCAAGTCTGAACAGTAAAGAGGGTGATCAAGAACCTTGAAATGGGCACCTGAACAACATAATCAGCAGAAACACAGATCACTTGGCCGCAGTGTTCATCCAAGTGAGATGACCTCTATTTCTGTTTAAATTTAAGAAAGATTTTTTTAAAAAAAAACTAAAATCGCATCTTTACATATAAATCAAGATCTGCAATTGGTGTTCTCTCTTGCCATCTTCTTTGGGGATAGAAATTGTTCTTTTTCCTGATGTGCAAGTGGCTGCCCACTGATGTGTTAGTGGACGGCCAGTACACACCCTTCTATTTACCTCTCTCTCCACCTCTATCCTTTGCCTTGATTCTCAGAGTCCCCCCAAAATATAATGGGACTTCTACTTTGGGAATCAGTCATTTCTGGACTGGGGGCCTAAGGAGGGGCCACAGAATGGAAACAGTTCTTCACACACACACATACCTTGTAAGGTTTGTTATGCGACTTACACAATTCTGATTTGGCCTAGATTTCCTTCATATTGTGTTTATGGATATCCCCCCCCCCAAAAAAAAGTCGAGAATGGCTCATCTAGAATATCCCACAAAGCCACCTCAGATGTGAGAAAATTGTTCCTTGCTGGACCACTGAAGAAGCCTTCCAGTGTTCACAAGGAGTCCTTCCACAGAAAGCAACATTTTGGAGGGATTTTAAATGTTTACATCAACTCTGCAATGGACGAAGGATACTTTTTTTCTGATTTATGAAGTGAAGGGGTGAAATAAACCACATATCCAAGTGTCCCTGACAGATTTATGAGACCTGGTGTTTAGTTGAGCCAGGAAAAAAAAGGAGCTATTAATTAAGACAGGAAGTAGTTTGAGGCATAAATCACAGCATTAATGTGTTAGCATGGAATCTGGCACAGGATTGCTGCCTTCCACAGGCAGGACGTGCTACCTCTGATGTAACATAACTGAGCTTGCAGTTCAGGGTCAGAAATTATTTCAGAGTTCAAGCTTGGGGAGCAAAGATTGGTTTTGAGCCAAATAGACTGGAATCGGAGTCGGGGGCGGGCTGCGTGTTCTCACATCCAACTGGACAATTAGGCAAAGCTGTGCCACAGCTGGTACGATGGGAGTGTAAATGAGCAGCCAGCTCCCATCTCAGAATGCCAATAAAATCTCCCTTATTCTGGGCCTCTCTCAAGTTCAAAATCTGTCTTTTCAGAAGACCTGACCAGAGGTTGGAAAAGTTGGGTGTCCCTTCCCCCCCCACCCGCCGCCACCACCCGATTCCAACCGCAGCTTTGTGTCTCATCTTGTAAAATTCCTTCCCTTAGAATCAAATGCTGTGTGAGTCTGATTTCCTGGGTTGGGAAAGGGCAAAATACACCATCAACAATGGTTGGAAATTGGAAATATCCTATATGCCTTTATAATAATTAGACCATTTGTCTCTCTCTCTCTCTCTAGCCTAGCATGGTCTAATTCTCACTGGCAGCGGTCCTCTGGGTGCTGAGAGGCTGAGGTCATGCCCACCGCTTGCTACTTTATCCTTTTGAATGGAAGATGCGAAGCTGGCTAGGGAGGCTTTTGGCATATAACTGACTGCCAAGAAAGAGGAGAAGTTGCAAGTTTTTGGTTGTTGTTTTTTCTTTAAAAAAAACAAACCCTTTTTGCATGTGTTATTAAACTGCTCTAAATTGTTTTATTTGGTTGTTCTTTTGATACTGCTTTCTATTGTTATTGTCATTTTAAAAATGTTGTAAGCTGGCTTGAATCAGAAAAGAAAGTCATAAATGAATCAAATGAATGATTGAATGGTGCTGAGCTATGGCTTTCCTTTGCTGGTTTGTTATGATGGAGGGCATTCAGTGATGTCACTTTTCTGTCTCTAAATCCTTCCTTCAGACTCATCTTTCTGCGAAGCTTTATAGTTTTACTCTTTAGCTCCCGTCCCTTAAGTACTGAAACATGAACCAGCACTTGTTCCTACCACGTGTTTTAATTGTACTCCCTACACCCTTAAGTTTTGTGCATCCCCACTATTGAGGGATAGATCCAGATTTAGGTCTGTGCAACTGGGCTGGTGGAACGGGGTGAAAATGTTTTTTATGCTTCCATACCTACAGCAACCCTTTTGAGCTCCCTAAAAATACTGCATAGAGGTTTGGAGGAGTCTGCAGAATTTTTTACTGTGTTTTTACTTTTTTTTTTACTGTTGTTCTGCAAAGCATGGTGTGCATTTGTTGTGTTGACTAAAGAATAACAACGCATACAGACACGCTTTTTCCTCCAGAGCTCTGCGACAGCCCAGCAGTGAGCAAAGAAAGGGGGCATTCCATGTGCGCATAGCCAGCATTTCTTATACCCTCACGCTTTATTGACCACCAAATATGTTTTATTTTAAACCTACAGAGGAGGATGGTCAAGGTCAACCCCAAAGGAAGCGCATTCGAAGGAAGAAAAGAAAGAATGGTTTGCAAAACCCTGATAATTTACACAGAGGCCCAGCTGAATATGAGGAGCCTAAAAATCCAATTGAAGAAAACTTACAGCTGGTGCGCTCAGAAGGCCCAAACTTGAGTCGGAATCAAAAGAGGAAAATGAAAAAGAAACGGCAAAAAGAAAAGATGAGAGCATCTGGCTTGCTGACGAAACCAGCTGCGATAGAGTTCATGTATAAGCCTGAGACAGAGGAGAGAATAAGCTTTGAAGAGGCACATAAAAAAGCAAATGACATTCTGGATTTTCTGCAAGCAACACAAGAAATTTATTTCTCAGAGAGTAGGTACTGCCCCCCCAACCCCATCTTTCATTTCATAACTTGAAGTAGGAGAAATAAGTACGTGTTCATTTTTCCTTTGTCAAACATGAAAGGAAAAAGTATCGGCCTCTTTTATGGCCTGAAACTGGCAGGCAAAAATAAGTACACAGACACTTCTATACCTCAACAGTCAGGGAATGTTGCCCAGCTGTTCCCTGGTAAGAATGTTGGGTTTTGGTTTGTTTGTTTTTTGATAGGAAAAGGCGAATGATCTCTGTGGTACTTTGGCTGCTGCTGGAGCAAGCAAGCATTTCAGTGGGCAGAGAAATTCTTCCCAAAATCACTGTTAGAGCATTTGCCGTACAAATGTCCTGGGCACATCGCATCCCAATATCCACTGTACTTAGCAGCACCATGGGAAAAGATCTCCAGATCTTCATGGTGAACTACTACATTATGTCCTGTTCAGAACAACCTCCATGTATTTTGGTTTCCAGGCAACCTGTCCACCAAGCAATGTTTCGATTTGGGTTGGAGGTATCTTCTTTTTTTAAACTAGGTACGTCCGTGCACCCATAGACACACTAAATTGTCAAGTGAAATTGACATACATCTGCAGGTGCAGAAGTAGTTATAATGAACACTGGTTCCCTCATTTGTCCAAATTTGGAACAAATTTATTGTTTTCTTCTTTGAATATTTTTCTTTCTAGAAATTCAGCAACTAGAAGGGCTGCTCAGGGTTTCATATATGTATACAACCATAATGCATATGAAATATAAAGATGAACGATTTTTAGAAATTTACAGGACACTAAGTATAGTGCAGAGGTTTTCCCTTCATGTTCACCTTTCATCCCAGCTACAGTGGATGCTCCCAGAATCCTAGGAGTGAGATGATCACTGTGGTAAAGGTAAGGTAAGCCCCTTTTCCAGTTCTGCAGATCTGAATGTTCAGTGTGGAGCATTACCAGTATCCATATAGTGTTTTAAAGCTGTTACCATTGGAACAGTTTTATTTGTTGTGAGCCACCTTGGATTCCCTTATTCGGAGAAAGCCTACAAATAATAAATTAATAATGGCTACCATCTTAATAGTTTGGTTTCAGGTAGCATTTTTCTGACTGTATAACAGAACTATCAAATATTATAAAGGATACAACGAAAAACACACACACACACACATAGAGCTGTGACTGGAATTCATTGTACTAGTGTATTTGTTTTTGTTCTGCTTTGCTTTAATTTATTCTGTAGTGTTCTGAAATGCTTAATTTGGAATCATTTATAAATTCAATAAATAAATAAAGCCGTCTTGCAGTAAGAGTTTGCTCTCTCTGTTTAGGACTCCAATTCTCAGAATTCTTCAAGGACAGAGTTAACGGGATTTCAGCCCACAGTCCAGGTGAACAAAGTGGAGTTTCATGTCACTCATCTGCAAAAGGAACTACCTCCAAGCTTCCTGTTGTTAATGTGCTCCCTGGGAGTCATAATTCTTTGGGAGGCACCCTCTGTAGAGCCTAACAGGAATGACTTCCAGAAAGCAGCATAGTGGCAATGGCAGCTGCTTCTGTACATTAACAACAGGAAGCAAGGGCTGAAGAAAGTTATGCAGCCTCAGAGGTAGTCTGTTCTCCAAGGGAGAAAATTATAGGTGTCTGCAGGTGTATGTTTGTGGGTTGAAACCAAGAATTCTGCCTGGGGAATCATTGGAGAATTCTGGAAGCTGGCATCTGAAGAACCAAAAGAGCATAGCCCTAACTGCAATTTTTCCTATAACATTTCCCACATATTTTCACACAATCCCTTTTTCTCCCTTTCCAAAATATATATGCACTCTGTTCATTTTATGGTTGCATTTTTATTTAAGAATTATTGAATCTGCGTTTTGGGGCCAGTTGCCCCGTCACATGACTGGCGACAGCACAAAAGTGAAGTTGAATGTGAGAAAGAGTCATCACCTCAAATCTCTTTAAATCAGAATTGGGCAAACGTGGCTCTCAAAACACAGGCTGTCCTCTTTCCACACAACAAAGGTTTTGCAAAGAAACCTCACTGCCAGGAATCTAATTCAAGCATTCAATTTTGGCACCTCTGAGAGCCATTGCATTTCAAAACATTGCTGCACTGCCGTGCCCAGCATCCGTCACCACTGGCTATGCTAACGGGAGTTACAGACTTAACAATACCCGAACGGCACAACTTTCCACCACTGTATTAACTAAGCCAGTTCACACAATTGACTTCTACTCAATAAGGGATGATACAATGAAGTTATGTGTTGTGACAATGAGAACCAGCCCTCAAATGTGACATAGCATTCCCCCCCAAATGATTTAACTTTTATATAACTGTCACAGATCTTCTGCACACACAGCTAACTGCATTTTCTCAGTGTGTGCTCCCTTTGAGTCCAGAGTACAGTGTGTTGCTGGTCTAGCAATCCGGGATGGGTCTGGCAAGACTGAAGATGACGTATGTTTCAAGAGTATATTTCTGTATCTCCATCTTTCTTGTGCTTCTCAAGTGTGATAATTTCTTGTGCTTCTCAGATCTTGTGCTTCTCAAGTGTGATAATTTCTTTCTTGTGCTTCTCAGGTGTGATAATTTCTTCTCTGTACTACATGTGGCAAGATTGAATGGTCTGTGTTGTAGAAAGAGAAATCGAAACAGGACAGTGACGAGGAAAAAGGAGGGTGTTAAGAACAAGACTTAAAGTATAACCTCCCTTTAAGAAGTCCCTGTTTTCCATTCCTTAGAGCGATCCAAGTGTGCAGAGTCTGCTGTGAGTTCACAGAGCGTTGGTGAGGTTTTACAGAGTCTTGAATCGGACAGCGTGTCTTCATCAGATATCACTCTTCTGCATCGCATGAAATCCCTTGTCCTTCTGCAGGATGTTGAGAGAATCAAGGATGCTGTGGAAGAGTTCCGCATGCAGACTGCAATGCCTCCTGGTAGGTTCAGAGCATACAAATGCCCTGCCAAGGGATCTTTTTCTTGTGGATGCACATTTTCCCTGTACAGGAAAAGCAAATCTGTTCTTCAAGGACATTTTAATTCCTCTCCCCACCCCCTAATTTCACTCTTGTGCAAAAAATATTTGATTCTGGGATGTCTTTCTCTGACCAGATTTTTGTTGTGTGTGCAGAAGAGCTTTTTTCTGAGTTAGCACAACATTCGTATATGAAAAAAGAGAGCTGAGAGCCAGAGTTTTTATACGGCACCACATAATGACTCGTGTTACCTCTCAGGCGACATGGAGCAGCTCCACAACCAGAGTTCCTGTGCGAATGCATCTTAGGAGCCAACCCCTAAGTTTTAATGCAGAGTTTTCAAAGGGAGCAAAAGACCCTCAATATTTATTCCTTTGCACTGGGGAAGCTAATGCCTGTGCAATGAAATAAACATGCCTAAGGCTTTATCATGGTGGGGTGCAGAGGGAAAGAACCCATCGTGATCCATTTGTTGATATACTGTGCTTCAGAAGGCAGGCATTTGCCCACCAAATGGATCTCTTGTGCAGCAGGCAGAGATGACTGTTCAGTAGCATGGAACAGGAAGGAGGAAGGCATTCAGGAAGCGATCCGTGGCAAAAGAGTAGAAGTTAACGAAGGTAAAAATGTCCCTGTTGTTTTTAATAAATTGCTGTGGAGTATTATATCTTTAGATTACTTTCACTAGAGTAAATGGTAGGAGACTCTTTGCTAGAGATGGGAAACCCCTATATATAGCAGGTGTCCATATCTTGTTGGACTTCAGCTCTTGTCAGTCCTCACTCTTCGCTGTGCTCGCTAGGACTGATCGGACTTGTGGTCTTACAAACCGCACCACCATACCACTCTGAACATGCCCACTTATGTCAGATTTCCAAAGCTAAGCAGAGTCAGTCCTGCTTAGGATTTGAAAGGGAGACAACAATGAAGTGTCAAGGATCTCCAGGTAGGGGGTAGGAAAAATTCCTGCCGGAAACCCTAGAACAGCTGCTGCCAGTCATAGTTGACCATCTTGGCCTAGATGGACCAAAACTCTTGACTCCGTATGAGGCAACATCCTGTGTTTCTGTGTAACCTCTGAAGAGTCACGTTTTCCCCAGCCTTGCTCTAAGTACTTTGGGCTGTTTTTCCGTCCTCTGAACTTATCCTGAACATACAGAACTTGAGTCCATCTCATTCAGTACTGATGATATAGATGGCAGCTGTCTAGTGGTTTTGGACAGGAGTCTTTCCCAGTCGAACCTGGAGAAACTGGGGGCTGAACTGAGATCCTCTGCGCACAGAGCATGTCCTGTGCCAGTTCTGTGGTATGAAACTGCGTGACTATGGGCCTAAACTGGCATCTGGATTGCACAGAAAGCCAAAATCTTTTGTTCAGTGTTAGCAAAAGACCGTAAACCTTTTTAAAACATAAAGGTTAAAGGCCTGGTGCATAAATGGAACAGTACTAGAACAAAACAGAAAAAGTGTAACTAAATATGGATGTTTAAACAAACATTAGTGGAGTCTTCTGTGATTGGCTATCTCAGTTTTTCTGCTTGATGCATCTTCTTACAGACATACATTATTTCAATTTGTTCTAACTTGGAGAGCAGGAAATGATATGTTTTTTTTTTGGTTGTGTATATAAATCTACCCAACTCTTGAGTTTTCAGATCCGTCATAAAATCATACACTCTAAGGCTTCCAGCATGACCTTATGATGTTTATGAAGAACTTGTGCCCAGTTTTTTTAAAAAGCAGCCTCTTTATTTTTGGGCCATGTATAAACGTTTGCTCTGGAGTCTCACTCTTACATCTGAGGAACTGGACTTGTCCACAAAAGCTTACGTTAAAATATAGCAGTTAGTCTTTAATGGACAATGATTTATTTTTGTACTTTTTTTTCCTTTTGTTTTTGCCTGAAATGCTAGCACAGACGTAACACAGCTATCCCTTCTAAAACTATGTTTATGAAAAAGTAACTCTTCCAGATTTTCAGTGAGGTTTAAGCCTTCTGTACATGCATGCATGCTTGCCTGTCTTGTGTGTATGCTATACTGCACATGTTCTCTGATGTGCATGAAATTAGCATTGAGATAAATGGGCCCAACCCTCCCTCCTATCCAATCAGCATTGTGCTGAAAATGCTAACAAAGTGTGAGAGAGAAACTCTGCTGTCATGGGATCCACTGCATCCACATGCAAAATTTGATGGACAAGGAAAATTCGAACCAGAGCCTCTCCGTTCCACATTCAGACATACTTTCTATAACCCTAGCAGTGCCTGAATCTTTAAGCGAGTGCATGTAAGCATGCTACTGTATATACAGAGGCCCCACATTATGCTATTGCCTCTTTCCCCTGAGGCGTAAAACGGGCAGCAGCAGGGCATCACAGTTCTGTAAGTCTTCTAGGGAAAAACAAAAATTAAGTTAAAAATATAAGAACAAATTAAAAAGACAATAGATTAGCAGACCCGTAAGCTTGACTCTGCGCCGTCGGCTTCTCCTCTTGTCATTCAGGCATTCTGCAAAATCCCGCTGCCTTTGTCACAGGGGGCGCCTGTGTTCATGCTGCATTAGAGAAGTGGAGCAGCTCTCAGAAGCACTAAAACTGAATGGTTGGCTTGTGTTCCTGGCAGTGAGGTTTCTTTGAAGAGACCTATGTGGAAAGAGGAGGATGATCTGTGAAGACTTATTAGTAGATGGCATTCTTAAAAAGATTCTGTTCTCAGGCCTGCTTATCCGGTGAGGATAACAACAGCCTTCCCAGCCACTTTGCCCCTCTTGTAATGTGAGCCCAGCAATCTGTGTTTTTCTGTGTGCAAAGACATATCATTAATGCCAGAGTCACCCTCCCTAAAATGTTTCAGCATTGTTGCTGTTGGGAGGGCAAAAAAGGCTCTATTTGTTGCTGAAGCAAAGGCTCAGTGCTTCCCACTCTTTTTATCAGCTTGAGACAGAGAGAAAAAGAGGAAGAAAGGAAATTATGGCTTGCCAACTTCTTGGGTGATCCACAGGGAGTAACCGACGACTCCCATGGTTTGAAAAATTACTTTTTGGACTACAGCTCCCAGAATCCCCTGGCCATGCTGGCTGTGAGATTGTAAGAGATGCAATAACTTTCCCATTGTTTCTGCTTCCCAGAAGCATCAGAAATGCTGATATGGTGATGAAAATATTTTGTTAGAAAAATTGTTCTTTTCCAAAGAGGAACCAGAGCTGTCCTTTTTTATTCTCTTTTGAGAATTCTGTTCTTGTAGAAAATCATTTTTTCCCAACCAGCTGCTTCCATTCATATTCTAATGAAACCAGGCAGACTGTCTGGGACTTGAGGGTAATGCACTGAATGCAAAGGAGTCCCTCTTGGAAGGTACTTCATGCATTGCAGAACATCTGGAAAACAGGAAATGGGTGGCCGCTGCGGAGAACAGATTTTTCCCATGTGGCTTTGAGGTGATCTGTGCTAAGCAGAAGTATAGCAGGGCCACACGTACGGAAGGGCATTGAAAACTCTAAGATTTAGACATCCATTGTCTTGAGAGGTTCTTAAGAAGTCATTTTTCTTTCTAAGCTGTGCACTCCTTTTTCAGCCTCTGGGGTCCCCCTTTCTCCTAAATCATCTTGTTAACATTTTCCTTCTTGTTGGCAAGCATCAAGTCAGAAAATAGCCTTGTCTCCTGTTGCCTAGGAAATTATCACCCACTAAAGAGCTAAAAATGTGTTTATGATATGCTTCTTTCTTAAAACAAAATGCAGAGCAGGCCTCTAGCAAGTCATCCTCCATTTATTTGTATATTCCTGCAGGCCAGGAGGCATTATCTGTTGTCACCTACCATGCACACTTTGGGTACTCCGTGTGCACTGGAATTAATTTGAGGGGAAAACGGTACTCACGGAAAGGGAAATTGAACAGGACGCGGCTTAGAAGTGCAATTATACATCAATGAGCACACTGTCAAAAACAGGTTGCCTTTAAAATAAATAGCATTAGTTAGAGGCTATGGGTCTATGCCTGTATTCTCTAACCTGGTGTTCTCCAGATAGCTGTTCTTACAATACAGTGGGGTCTTGACTTAAGAACGGCTTGAGTTAAGAACATTTTGACTTAAGAACCGCTCTCATAGGAAAATATTGACTTGACTTAAGTACTTAGATTTGAGTTAAGAACTGAAAAAAACCACGTGGGAGGCAGGGAAAGTGGAAAATTTGAACTTTCAGTTAACTGGTACTTGTAATGAGAGTTGTAGTCCAGCCCAAGGGAGGACATCAAGTTTAGTGTATAGTGTTGCTGAATGTTAGCTCCAGATCCTTGGTGTCTCAAACCGGGCAAGTACCACTTTTAAAACTGGGCAGAAAGGGGATGCTTACATATATTCTTCTATGGGAAACAACACAGTATCTTCCCATTCGGATTACAGTGGGGTCTCTACTTAAGAACGTCTCTACTTAAGAACAATCCAACTTAAGAACAGCTCCATTTGCTAAATTTTGCTTCTACTTGAGAACAGAAATCCAAGATAAGAACAGGGGAAAAAACCCTTTCCTGCTCTTTTTTTAACCTTAGGTCATCTTAGGTTAAAAAAAAAATCTCCCCCTAGTGGTAGAGTACGTATTAACCAGCTTTGCATTAGTTCCTATGGGAACTAATGCTTCAATGTACAAACGCACCTCTACATAACAAAAAAACAGCCAGAACGGATTAATTGGTTTTCAGTCCATTCCTATGGGAAATTTCGCTTCAATTTAAGAACGTTTCAACTTAAGAACACCATTCCAAAACGGATTACGTTCTTAAGTAGAGGTTCCACTGTAGTTTCTATGGAGGGAAAAGAGCAGATACGAATTAAATGGTTTTGAATGCATTCCTATGGGAAATGCAGATTCAACATAAGAACTTTTCAACTTGAGAACCACCTTCCAATACGGATTAAGTTCTTAAGTAGAGACCCCACTTTATAGCAATCTACCCAATTTCTG